GAGAGATCGTCCAAGTCGCTGTTGGCTAACGTGCTGGACATCGACGACGACTTCCGAGCGCACACGCTGCCGCACACACACACCACCAACACCAACAACACTGCCGGCTTCATCCGGGTGCCACATGGGGGCCATTCCGTCGACGACTCCCACCTAGTTCACACTTGTATGTCCTCCTGCACCAGAGAGCTGAATCTCATACTCAAGGAGATTCGTGTCATCACTGACAAGATGAGGAAAGAAGACGAAGATGGGGAGGTAAGTATCTGGGTGGGGAGGTGAGTTGTTACACTCCTGAGCTCTGTGGAGAGATTTTTTTTTTGTTACATTTAACAGTAGCTGCACACTACCACGGTGTGCAGCTACCGTATTATAATTACATTGTGGAACTACCTAGGTTTCTTTGTCATATTCTGTTACATAGGATGAGTGTCAAACCACGGAACGGGTGGAGTTAACTCCCATGGCGAGTGAGTAGTTAAACTCCAGCCCACTGCATGAACACTAGGTTCCAACCATTCGTTTCGTGGTTTGTTTGCAATCGTGTTATTACGATTTCGTGAGCCATAAGTTTCAAACATGAAATCTGTCAACAACAGCTGGAAGTCTTACACAAAGCAATTAGGATATTCTCAAGAACACACAATGGGTTCAGCATCTTCAACAGCTTGAAGGGTTTCGTTTCATCCTAGGTGAAGTGTTACTAACACATGGAAATTATCACTTGTTACAACCCTGCTGAAACGAAACCTCTGAAACTGCCAAAGCTAAACTCATACCCCTACTGAAGTCTCTCATCTGCGTGATTGAATGTGACTGGGGAAACACATGAGTAGAGTTACTGTGTAGAGGGGTAAGTAATGTTATAATTATATCCTTTGTTCGCACTTGGAGTTACTTAGAAAAACAGTAATAACATAAATGAAGTCATGGGTCAAAGGCACGAAGTAGCTGGGTGAGACAGGCGAGAGAGGAAGGAGGATTTTTATTTATTTTACTCGGGGGAAAAGTACTAAACCTGTAGCGTCTAGGTAATAACAAGCATTCTGGTTAGATCCAAAGAAGGAAGGGATAGGTTCAGTTCCTTGGATCAAGAACCCCTCATGGGCATCAAGGCGCCTCCCTAGGTTTAGGAAGTAGAAACCAAAAGAGGGTTAGCGTTAGCATAAAACAGAATTAACGTGGCAAGTATAGGAGACAAATATAAAAGTAGAGAAATCAGTAAATATAAAAGCACTGAGTGTAAATGAGCGTTACTGATGCTAATTTTCCTACATAGTCCTTATGCTAGACCAGATTTAAATATCAAGTCGATCAACCAGAATTCACTTATTTTTGTGTGGAATCGCTGATAGACATACCAAATACCCAGCAAAATGCATTATTTTTATTGGCTTACATTTTATAGCCGATTTAACATAAGATTCCATGATGTTGCAGTGCCTGACAAGTTGTGCAAGACAGGTATGCAATACCGTTGTGCCTAATATGTAATACTTGCGATCTTGGCTTAAATAGCAACGCTCATCTTGCCATATAACACGAGCGAAAATTTGTGTATGCAATAATTTCGCAAAAATCATTCTGAACCTCACGAAAAAATATATTTCATTGTGTTTGTTTAGTATTAAATTATCGTAAACATATCTAAAATATATTTAGCTGGATTAGGCTAAAATAAATTGCGCTTGTTATAATAAGGTTAGGTAAGTTTTCTAAGATTCTTTTGGTGCAAAATTATGAACTTTTACATTAACATCAATGAAAAAATGTATCTATAAACGTGTAAGAGAAAATTTTAGAAAGGACTTAATTTTAAATGAGCTCTTGCTAATTGACCAGTTTTACCTATTGGGCACGACATTATATATATATATATATATATAATATTATATATATATATATATATATATATATATATATATATATATATTATATATTATATATATATATATATATATATATATATATATATATATGGTATAAACCTTGGTAATAAATACCGACAAGTTGGTTTAGAAAGACACGTAAGCAAACACTATAACATATTTATTAGAAAACTTTTCGGTCCTGGGACCTTGATCACTTCTAACATACAGAGGTAGAAAGACATTATATAATAGGCACGACATATATATAATATATATATATATATATATATATATAATATATATATTATATATATATATATATATATATATACATATGAGAGCATTGCGTATTTGTAGCCCAGAGTTCATAGATGAAGAAGTTGTATTTAAAAATCTTGATACAGTAAAAAATCTTTTGATAAAGAATTCCTCCAAAAATGTTGACGGATATGTCTAAAAGATTCCTTGTAAAAAATTGCGATAAAGTTTATTACGGTCAAACTGGTAAAAATCTCGAACCAAGATTAAAACAACATAAATATAATTAGAACTGAACAAGATTCCAATGCTCTATTTATTCATGTAAGAGATTTTAACCATCCAATTGATTTTCAAAAAGTTGAGAAAGTTGCATCAAGCAAGTCCATGGTCGACAGGAATATAATTGAATCTTGTTTCATAAAAAGCAGTTTTGAAAATAATATGAATATTTCCTTTGGCTTATATAAATTACATTCATTTATAATTAATAGAATTTGGGAATAATTTAATCATACATTGGACATATAATAAATCTTAATTCTTGGGTAGAATTGTTTGTTTGTGGGTTGCCGTGAAGGACTTGTCTAGTTGGGCCAGCGGGCCTGCTGCAGTGTTCTCTTTCTTATGAGTCGCGCGTCAGGTGTTGCTTTGTTGTGTGATGTGATAGTGAGGTGTGGTCTAGACCCTTTATATGCCTTCCTTTGATGCATTACTTTTATTGTTCCTTGATAATGTGAGTAGTCACGAAAGCTCCTGGAATTTCACTATTCTTTCACAGTGGTTGTTTTGCATATTCTTAGATCACCTGTTTACTGTGATCTTATTGTGTATTATATATATATATATATATATATATATTATATATATATATATATATATATATATATATATATATATATATATATATATATTTGCAAAACAACTACTGTGAAAGAATAGTGAAATTCCAAGCACTTTCTTGACTACTCACATTATCAAGGAACAATAAAAGTAATACATCAAAGGAAGGCATATAAAGGGTCTAGACCACACCTCACCATCACATCCCACAACAAAGCAGCACCTGCGCGCGACTCATAAGAGAACACTGCAGTAGGCCCACTGGCCCAAACTGGACAGGTCCTTCAGGGCAACCCACAAACTATTCTACCCAAGAATTAAGATTTATTATTTGTCCAATGTATTATTAAATTCTTCCCAAATTCTATTAATTATAAATAGATCTCATTTATATAAACCAAAGGAAATATTCATATTTTCAAAACTGCTTTTTATGAAACAAGATTCAATTATATTCCTGTCGACCATGGACTTTTTGACACAACTTTAACTTTTTGAAAAATCAATTGGATGGTTAAAATCTCTCACATGAATAAATAGAGCATTGGAATCTTGTCCAGTTCTAATGCTATATTTATGTTGTTTTAATCTTAGTTCGAGACTTTTACCAGTTTGACCGTAATAAACTTTCTTCTTTCTTCTTACTCTTTCTTATGAGTCGCGTGTCGTCGCACGTCAGGTGTTGCTTTGTTGTGGGATGTGATGGTGAGGTGTGATCTAGACCCTTTATATGCCTTCCTTTTATGTATTACTTTTATTGTTCCTTGATAATGTGAGTAGTCACGAAAGCGCTTGGAATTGCACTATTCTTTCACAGTGGTTGTTTTGCATATTCTAAAATCACCTGTTTACTGTGATCTTATTGTATATGTATATGTCGTGCCGAATATGTAAAACTGGTCAATTAGCAAGAACTCATTTAAAATTAAGTCCTTTCTAAAATTTTCTCTTATACATTTAAAGAAATATTTTTTTCATTAATGTTGATGTAAAAATTTGTAATTTTGCACCAAAAGAATCTTAGAAAACTTACCTAACCTTATTATAAGAAGAGCAATTTATTTTAGCCTAACCCAACTAAATATATTTTAGATTTGTTTACAATAATTTAATACTAAAAAACACAGTGAAATATATTTTTTTCGTTAGGTTCAGAATGATTTTGACGAAATTATTGCATACACAAATTTTCGCTTGTCTTATATGGCAAGATGAGCGTTGCTATTTAAGCCAAGATCGCAAGTTCTGCCTATTCGGCACGACATATATATATATATATATATATATATATATATATATATATATATATATATATATAATATATATATATATATATATATATTCGATTCATTCATAATGAATAGAATTTGTGAGGATTTTAAACTATGCTTGACATGTCACTCTTTAAAGAGACAAACTACATGTGACCTATTAAATAAATGGCAAATGACCAGCCTATGATTTTTTACAAGTTTTACAAAATCAACAAAGCTATCGTTTATTTATATTTTCTTGTTTGTGTGCTTTCATATCTTTTTCTTGTACATTCCGATTTCATATTTCCTTTTCATTAATCTTTTTCTTTTTCCAATTTCCCGTGTTTTCTCTACATCAAATCCCTGCCTTGTACTTGTCCCAAGCCCAGTGCTCTCACTCTTTCACCCTTAGCGCTGTATTCTCTTCCGTGTTAAGCTTTTAATGAAGAGGGATTATTATTAACTTTGTGTCTATCTCTCCGCAGGTGAAAAATGACTGGAGGTTCGCGGCGATGGTGGTGGATCGCCTCTGTCTTATTATCTTCACACTCTTCACAATCACCGCCACCGTCGCTGTACTTCTGTCTGCGCCGCATATTATTGTTCCATAATAATTAGCCAGCCGGATGAAGGGTATGTTGGTTCGCGTGGCGCTGTATGCCACACCCTCCAGGGGGGTGCTATACAGCGTCATTCTTCCAACAGGGATGTATGCAGTTTAACTGCTTATGTTCCCATCATCTGGCTCTCGGTTGCTATGCCCACCTCGCTTCAGTGTCTGTGTTTGGTCTCAATGAAGTCCGCCTCACACTGTAAGGATCTGGGCGACTCCTTCCTCGTTCTGGTCACGATGCTTCCATAAGTGCCAAAGGGCTGGCACGTTCTCTGGCTCACGGCGACAGTGTGTCACACCTTCGCTCAAGCCCACGCCCTCGTGAGACTGCCACGGCCCGCCCACACGCCCACAACGGACTTACCAAGCAACGTGCTTGCTGGAGTTCTCTCTTGCTATTCTTATACAAACTGTTGCCCGGCTCTTCGTAGCCTCGCTGTTGATGTAGTAAGGACTACTCTGGCACGCAGGTGAGCTGCGGAGCATGGGCAAGCGAAACCTAAAAGAGAAGAGTGAAAATGTATGAAGTGATTGATTGCAAGGCGACAACGGCGGGCCGAGGCAGGAGCAGCAGCATCATGAAGGGGTCGCCGGCAGTGCTACTATCTCCGTAGCCTCCGCTGTCTCCCGGAAAGCGGCTCCTCAGTGTACTACTTTCGCCACATAAATTATACGCCACAAATGTGCTCCGATCTGTAAGCCGAGTACACACGTTTGCTCCCTTGCTCATGCGTCAGTATTATGTGATTCTGAGATTATTGTAAGCATCAAATAATTCATTATATACTTCTTTGAAATAACTTTAAGCATTCACTTCCTTTTTCTTAAGCTGTTTGAGCAAGTTGAGTCTCCATGCAATAATCTATACTTGCTTGAGAGCTGGCAGCGCGGCTCGCATTCACTCTTTTATCCTTGACTCCTATTATCCAGACCTTCCAGATTCTGTATTCTCTGTTCATGAGCCTTTCGTATCTAATCTCCCCTTCTCCTACACCTCTCTCCTAAAGTCATTCCTTCCCTTATTCTCCTACAGTCCAGTAAGCCTGACCTTATCTCGACGTGTCGCGCTGCAGGCTTTTCGGCAATAATTTTCTGTTTCAACGGCAGAATGTAGATTTTTCTTTCTATTCTCGTGTTGATGTAAATAAGCGTTTTCTATTATTTCCTGTGCTTAAGATGGTTACTGGCTCATCATTTCCATAAAGAAAAAATAATAACTAACAAAAAAAAAAAACTAACGAACTCAAGCAGCAAAACCAAAATATAAATTAGCCTGTAATTAGGCAAGCTGTTAATTATCTAACAAAGTGTTAAGGAGATGTTAACTAGAAAACAATGGATGTCATATCATATCAGAGTTTTGTTTTCCATTTTCTATAACCACTTACTGACAATAACCCCCAAAGACAATAATACAATTACTCGTTTAAAAATAAAAAAAATGGTATCCAAGCAAAATATATATAATGGCATAGTATACTACAGAAAACCTCTACGCAATACGTAGTTTAAATTTCTCTTAACAATCATAGGTTTACAAAGATAGAAAAAAAATTTCTTGATCAGCCCCAACTCCTTCAAGCTCAGCGAGACATCAGAACAAGGTCTAAAAGGAAGAGTTTCACACTCAAGGTTCTCAGCATCTGAGTGAGAAAGTGTCGGGAAAAGGAAGCTTGTCAACATTAATACGTATTACGCAAGGAGGAGTTGCGGGGTGCCGTAGTGAACAATTTCCTAGCAGTTACAACGCACCGGCTGCCTATCTCCGCCCGGAGGCCCTCGTAGGGGTACCCTGCTGAGGACCACCAAGACCCCAGTAGTAGGTGAGCCGCAGTGATTCCCCCAGCTGTGTGTTCCTGGCAGCTTCTCACCAGGGTCCTGTCCCCCCTGCTGAGGTCTCCTGTACCTGTGTACGGCCTAAAGAGGGGCTTTAGCATCATCAAAATATCAAAGGTTTTATCTTTTTCATGGATGTTAGAGTAAGTGTGTAGGTGTGCGAGTGTCTGTTTCATAATCGTCAACAATGTGATGTTTTATAATGCTCTTATGTTGCTCTTCGACATCCTGACGATTGTTAAGAGTGTGTGTGAGTGCGTGTCTGCTAGTTACAAATCGTTGTATCTTTAAGACTATAGTATAAAAGAGAAGATAATGGATTCTTTTAGAGCTGGCCGTGTCCCTGGAGTGTCTACCGGGCGGGCAACACCGGTCATGCAGGAGGGCTGGGTAATGCAATCATTGTAGGTATCTAGAACCCCCCTTTTTAGGTTCCTTCTGCCAGAGTGCATCAAATCAATTTTATTATATATATGTATAACCATATTTATCTTCCCTTTTGTACATTTGTTTTTCAAACAATGATTCAGTTGCGATCATGGGTCTGAGTTATAATCTTTACTCCCGAATTGTTTGTGTCAAGATCGTCATGATTCTGCGCTTCTGTTTTATCGCTGTAAATACGGGTATCTTGCTTCATAAGTATGTTCTTTGTTTCCTAAACTTATATTAAGAACTATTCTTGTTGATAGTTTAGCGATCATGTTGTTGTTAGGTATTTGAACTTTTGATTTTGTACCTATCACACACACATATATATATATAAATATATACATATACATATACATATATGAACTCGCTTTCAAAACAAAGAAGATATCAAGTAAGCTTAATTGCTTTACTGGGGAGAGGACGCGTTTAGTGTCCCCTCCAAGCTCTTCTGAACCTGTGGTCAATATTATCGACTGCTCGTGCCAGTTGACATAGTTCTCACTCCGTGACCGATTTGTGAATATGGCGACCTGTGAATATGACCCACTGTGAATATGATCCTCTGTGAATATGACCCTATGTGAATATGACCCTATGTGAATATGACCCTATGTGAATATGACCTCCTTCCAAGATACAGTCACTCTCGCTTTATCATCATATTTGGTCTATCTTTCCGAAGAGTGAAGCTTGAGAGGTGACCTGTCTGGAATGAGTCATAGTAAACTTGTCCTGTATGATGTTTCATGTATTTTGACAGAAGGTCTTTCAATTTTTGTATTCTATATGATTAATGCTGACCTTTCACAAAGTATCCCTTTGTCATGAGTATGGGCATCTCCACACGTGATGCTGACCTGTTCCTTGAGTCTGAGTAACTTCTCACATGTTGCTGGATCTGCTCATGAGTGTGAGTGTCTGCTCACATGTTGCTGGACCTGCTCATGAGCGTGAGCGTCCTCTCACATGTTGCTGGACCTGCTCATGAGCGTGAGTGTCCTCTCACATGTTGCTGGACCTGCTCATGAGTGTGTGTCCTCTCACATGTTGCTGGACCTGCTCATGAGTGTGTGTCCTCTCACATGTTGCTGGACCTGCTCATGAGTGTGAGTGTCTGCTCACACGACACTGGACCTGTCCCATGAGTGTGAGAGTCTGCTCACATAATGTAGCAATTTTTTAAATCCTAATCATGCAGGAAGGTAATAGACCTTCGTGAATCTTTTATTTGCAAACTCAGCTAGCAAATATTTACTGTGTACGTTGTGTTGGTATTTGTAATTCTGAATGTCTGTGTTAAAACATTGTATCATCTCTTTTCTGTAGTTTTAACCCAACACTAAAACTGCCAGTTGTATTAACCACCTTGTATTATCAACGGAGAAACAATTGTAAGGAGCATACATATGGTGTGAAAGTTTGACTACAATACTAAGCACAGGGCAGCAGAATACAGTAAAGCAATTATGACTTCTTGACAGACTGTACCATAAAAACGGACGGTTGCCTTATGTGCATGTATAGAGTGGTACCCGGGTTTTGAATGTTTATCATCGATGAAATGGCAATGCCACACCGATAGGGACAAGGACCTCCTCTTCTCTTAATTAGTACTTACGGGGAATGTACACACTGAAAATTTATTGGGCTACTAAAATAAATTAGGAGGTTTAAAAACTACTGTTATGAAGCTACAACAGTGAAAAAGGCAAAAAAAAAAAAAAAAAAATAATAAAAATGTTCATACCGGTGAGAAATAAATGAAAATATTGTAAGTTTACCCCCTTGAAGACAATATAAAGAGAGTGGCCTCCCTGGACCAGTGGGACGGGTACACTTTCTGCCAGTCAAGACGCATCTATGGCATCATAACTGTGATAGTGACATTCAACTGTCAGTTGCCGTGTGGAGAGGCACAAGTTCTTCTTCTTCATGTTTTCTTCTTAGTAGAAACAAATGGGCCCATCACCTTTAACAGACTATAGAATAAATATGAAAAAAAAAACGAGAAATTTGGCTAAGTCGACGATTTTTCTCAACATTGTGATTGTATAGGCACTCTGTGAAGGCGGGGTCCCAGTTAGTTGTATATGTAATATTTCTTCTACATTATAATTTGTCGTCATAACGATATAATGGTAAAGAATGCTTTACAAGACTCGGGCATGGTAGTTCCTCGACCCAGTGGTTGCCTCAGGCTGCTGCTGGGCTTCAACAAGGGGACGCCAAAGCCACTTTGACAATCCTGTATGTAAAGGGTTAGGATATAATTGCTACTGTTACTTAGTATTAGTTATTTAATGAAAACTAGTTACAAGAGCTCACGAACCTATCATACTAACATTAATTAAACACTTGTTATTACATTTGTTTTTGCTTTTGGAACGGGTGCTTTCTATTACGTAGTTTTCTAGTTAACGCGACTCATCCAGTGGCAGGAAACACTATATATTCAGTCTGCGACCGCTCTTTGAATCCCTTTCTACGTTATTCCTCTTCCCGGAGGGGAAACATCCACGTGTATACCGTGAGAGTCGCAGCAGGAGCCTCAGCAACTACAGCAGCGGCTGTAGCTATGGCAGCTGAAGGGCGACTTTCATAAACATTGCTAATAGTCAAAGCTTTTTTCATATTTCTGAGTCAGGCAGGACTGAAGTACTTCTGATTTCTCTTGCCGAGTTTGCTTGCTGGTGCTTGCAGCGCGATCGAAACACTAGTTTATTCTTAAGATCAATAATTATCAATTGGAGTTCTTACTTTTCTTTTACTTAGGCAGTCACGATTCATTGCATATTATATATCCATTATGTTTTTATACTAATAAATAAATTACTTTTAGATTTTGTTATTGTTACCTAAATTTCAAAGAAAATAGTTACGCATGCGCCTCATCTCGTGTATGTTAAGCATCAAGCAGTACTTCATCACTTAACATCCAAGCGTTAGCTACATGGTTACTGAGAACCCCGAGTAGCTTCCAATGGAGGAAGAGAAACCTTTCTACCCATTGCGGTGCCACCCCGGTGGATCTGTTTCCCTCTTGTTCATCATGGGTAAGATAGACGTATTCTCCTGTTATTATTCACTGTGAATAAACTACTTGCGCCAGAACATCCACATATACATAATTAGATCCAAGTCTGCACCTTCATGCGACGTACCTCAACCAAATCTGTTCCATTTCATCATTTTCAAGAGTTTATCAGTGTACATCATGATGTAAAATAAGTCTCGACCTGTTAATTCTCTCAAAACTACAAAATCTAAAAAGTGATTTTCCTGAAATATGCTTGAAATATGTACATATATAAATATATACATTATTAGTCTTTTCAAACAACCCAAGGTCTTGCAGTCATCTCTCTTTGCCAACGATTAGTGAGAAGACGATTCTACTTCACCCTTATGCTCAAGGACGACAGAGGTCAAGTTAAGGCTAACTTGAAGCTTCTTATTCTTGGAAAATGATTTCTCACATTCAGAGTAATCATCTTCCAAGAGTTCATGGAATGCTGTTAAGGTTAGCTTTTGGACCCTCCTCGTCAAAAATACAGGGTGGAACCGTAGCTGAAATTGGTTCCTTTTGTAAGTCTACAGAACTGTTCATTGATGGAAACTATGGTTGTCAGTGAAGAGGGAAATGATTGATGGGGGGTCTTCCAAAAAATGTATGATATGTTTTAAGGAAACTTACTCGTTGGGTACTAAATTAACTTCTCAAAAAAAAAATTTAATATTTTTTATCAACACAGAGAAAAATATACAAAACATTTTTGGGAAAGATTGTAGGGTGTCTGTAAGAAAAAACATTTCCACACTTAAAAAAAATTAAATATTCAAAACTTTTTAATATTTGTTTTTCAAAAAATACAAGATTTTATAGTACTTTCACTGTTTTAAAAACCCTTTAATTATTTATATATAAATATATTATTTTTATATTTTATATAATATATAAAAATTTATACAAATATATTTTTATTATTTAATATATTTTTTTAATATTATATATAATAAAATATATATATATATATATATAAAATATTATAAAAAATATTTATATATTTTATACTTTATATATTATATATATAATATATATAAAATTTATATAATATATATATATATAATATTTTTTTTTAAAATATAAAATATAAACATATAAAAAATTATAAAAATATATATTATATATTATATATATAATTATATATTTTATTTTTATATATATATATTATATTATATATAATAGGCAGAACTTGCGATCTTGGTTTAAATAGCAACGCTCATTTTGCAAAATAGGACAAGTGAAAATTTGTGAAATTAAAATTAATTTTCGCCAAAATCATTCGGAACCTAACGAAAAAATTTATTTGATTGTTTTTTTGCTTATTTTAAAATTTATTGAAAACGTTTTTAAAAAATATTTTTATTTGGGGTTGGGCTAAAATAAATTCCCTTTTGGGTTTATAAAAAGGGTTTGGTTTTAAGTTTTCTAAAAAACTTCGGGTGAAAAATTTAAAAAAATTTTTTACTTTAAATTTTTAAAATGAAAAAATTTTATATCTTTAAAGTATAAAGAAGTTTTTCAGAAAGGATTTAAATTTTTAAATTTTTTTTTTTTTTTTGTTAAATTGCCCATTTTTTTCATTTTTTGGAAGGGAAATTATTATATATAATATTTTATAAATATATATTTATAAAAAATTTATATATTTATATAAAAAATTTATATATTTTTAAAATAATTTAAAATAAAAATTCCAGAAAAACAGGTTTTTCAAAATTTTGCAAAAAAACCCCACTCTAAAAGAAAAGGGGAAATTCCAAGCGCTTTGGGGAAAAAAATAAACTTTAAATCAAGGAATATGAAAGAAAAGCACCCAAAGGGGAAGCTATATAAGGGGTCGGGCCGTTGTGGGATTGTTTTGGGGGGGCGGGCCAGACCCCTTATACAGTTTCCCTTTGGGATGCTTTATTTTCTTTTTTCCCTTGTTAATGTGGAAAGTCACAAAGCGTTTGGGAATTTCTCTTTTCTTCAGAGTTTTTTTTGGCAAATATTTTTTATTATATATATATTATATTTTATAAAATATTTAAATATTTTTTTTTGGTCTTTGCCCGAATGTGTAAAAGGGTTCATTAGCAAAAATCTTTTAAAAATTAAGTTTTTCAAAATTTTTCTTTTTTTAATTTTTTAAAAGATATTTTTTTTTTTAATTTTAAAAAAATTTAAAAATTTTTAAAATTTTTAAAAAAAGGGAATTTGAAAATTTAAACCTTTAACCTTTTTTTAAAAGAAAAATTTAATTTTGCCTAACCCCAAAATTTATTTTAAAAATTATTTCCAAATAAATTTTTTAAAAAACACGGGGGTTTTTTTTTTTTTTTGGGGGC